CTTTCCCTTCTGTGTTCCTTTGCCAGCATGGCTATATCCACACAGCATACCTGTTTATTTGTTAAGCCTGCTTGCTACACTAATCAATTATTCTTCAGATAACCACCTTATTTAAATCCTTGCACCATGCATGACTCGCAGACGATGAAAACTGTGGATGAAGATCACACAAATCTAGCTGCAGATCACTCTCCTCTGTGTTAGTACTAAGATTGAAAAAGCTCCATTCATCTCACCACCCAAACCTGAGCTGTTTTGTTTAGCACACTCTTTTCAGCAAACACAGGCAATATTTTAAGGGTTATTCACAAAACAAAAGCAAATTGAAAATCCTCAGCTGGTGCAAGGTGATGTTGCACTACTGACATTAGTTAAAGCTCCTCATGTCGTCTGATGACCTCACTCCAAGTCTTTATTAAACATTCACAAATTGAGCAAAAGTCGGTATGAGCAAAAGCTGCAGTAGTTTAACTACCAGAATGATTTGTGCATGGACTCTCTCAAATCAATTTAAATCTGGTTTATGGAGGTTTAGCTTCTACGGACGGATTTACAAGTTTAAGCACAATCCCTTTAACGTATTCTAAACTGACATAAGAATGTTCACTCATGACTTTGCATCAGTTTAACTAAATTGAATTCAAGGTAGTTTGGATGGAGTTTTGATCAACCTGATCCAGTGTAAGGCATCCCTGCCCATGGCAGGACAGTTGGAACTAGGTGATCTTTAAGGTCTTTTCCAACACAAACCAGTCTAGGTTTCTATGATTCAAACCTGAAAAGTAGTGGGGAGAATAGCCCAAAGCATCAGAAAAGTAAGACTGAAATAGGAAAGAAATAACATGAAAAAGTTTGCATTTCTGAGAATAGCAAGAGATTGGCTTGGTGGAGATCATACATATCATAGACACTTGCAATAGGCCACCAAGCTTCTTTCCTAGCGTGCTCATACTTGTAGGTCTTCCTTGTCCCTGACTCAACCTCCCTTTTCTTCCCTGCATCATTGCTGCAGCTGAAATACATTCAGTCATCCTGAGCCATTGGAGGGAGTGAATTAGCTTGTAAAGCATGATAAAGTGTAATTGAGAATACGTGCTATTGGAAAATGAAATCATTTTATTTTTAGTTTGTCTAACCACACTTAACATGACTAGGGACAGTTAGACCTTTCATTATTGGGAGTTCATATGCTCCAAAATGCTCAGGAAAATTGCCAGCCCAGTGATAGATTAAATAATGATAATGTTGAGAAGCAAACACTGACAGTAAGGAAATAATAATAGTTTGCTCTATTATAGTGTCTTTTTCTTCAATAACTGAAAGATCTCTGTATGGCTAGAACAGGAGCAAGAAAGTTCTCATTTATACTGCAGTAAGAGACTTATTTCATTGACACTGTACCTAAATTTTGGAAACAACTGGTCCTGAGGCAAAGGCACAGAGTAGCACTTGGGTGACCAAGAGGTCACGTTACCATCAAACTTCAGTCCTTTCCCTGTCAAACAGGCTGGCACCTGTCTGTTTGATACAAGCCCCAGCAGCTCCCATCCCATGAAAGGTCTGTGAAATAAGACTGAACTGTTGCCATCCTGTCCCTCTGTCCCAAAATAAGAGTCCAGTAAGACCAATATCCCACCTGACTGGTACTTTAGACCCTGGGGGTTTCCATGCACATGCCACCCCACCACCTTGCCCACTGCTTTCCAGGCCATAATAAATTAAGTTAGGTCTGCCTGTCCTGAGTCATGAGTCTCCCATGCATCCTCATTGCTGCCCATCAGGGAATTATTTTGAGGTGCCACTTCCCTACAAGTCCCTTTCCAGTAAGGGAAGTTATTGCAGTATTTGAAAAAGATAAGTGGAATGACAATAAACTATTTAATGTGAAGATGATACCAGGGAAAGTTATGGTGAGACTGCTACAAGATACATGCAGGTAAGAAATAGTATAATTAGTGCTAGTTAGCATGATTTCATGGGAGTAGTTCTTGTAAAGCCAATATGGTCCTTTGATTTGATTACAAATTATGCTGATGATGGTAACTGTGCTGATATAATATCCTTAGATTTCAGAGAAGAATCTGATACCATGGGACACTGTGATGAGAACATGAGCTCTGTACCAAGCCAAGTAAAGATATTTTAAATTAATTTAAAATGGGTGATGGATCTCAAAATTTTTAAACAGTGATGACACTGTAAATTCAGTGATGAGTGTTTCAGGGTGATGGATCCTTTAAAGTAAGAGCTGTCCTTAATCTGGACTTTAGCAGCATCTGGAAGAAAATATAAAATCTTTGCTGAGAATACACAAAGTGAGTGGAGTAGTAAGTGATATTACGGATAAAGGAATTATACTGACTGAGCTGGATCACAGTGGAGAACAGATCAGTTGTACAACATGCATTTTAATAAAACCACACACATTGTACACCTCGGGAGGAGGAAAGTAGGTCACTCTGGGGGACGTTTCTTGGAAAACAGCAGCTGAGAAGGACTTAGGGATAGGGATGACTATTCAACAGGACACAAGCTTTTGGGCAGCTCCAATAAATGAGGTGATTTACAATCTGCCAATATGCAGGGAAATAATCCAGCAAGCAGAGGGAGAGGGTAATGCTTCAACACTAGAATTCCACCAAGCTGCTGGAAATGGGGTGTTAAAAATGAGAAAGTCTCTACAGGGAGCTACGAGTGTGGTTAGAAATCTGAAGGAACCATGACAGTTAGGAAGAAGCTCTGTTTTATTAATCACCCAAAGCAATGCTGAGTGGCAATTCATCCATAGTGAAGACAGGAATGATAGAAGATGTCTAACAGCAGATGACTAGTTCCTCGAGTTCAACAAACCCAACCTAAAAATACAGCACCTGCTTCTAACAGTGAGGACAAAGGACAACAGGAATACATTATAATAAAATCCAATCAGAACATTTTTGTCCATTATTTGACACCATGACAGTACAAATTAGACGTCTTTGAAAAAACTGCACCCAGGCTTGCCTAGGAATTACAGCCTGGGCTTGGATTTATTGCAGGGTGTCTGGTGGGCTCTGTTGTAACAAAGGGAGGATTAAAACTTTGCCTAAAGAAGTCACCAGGAAGGTGATTTCACCTATAAAGGTGCTGATGGAAATGAAGGAGTATGTAATCTTTTCTTATACATGGCTATATATATTGCTGTTCCTAGATGCAGCAGAAATTCAACCCTTTCCATGGCAAGGCTTGCAGCTGAACTTTTAACATTAATTTATAATAATAACTTGCCTTTATGTATCCAGGTCTTTAAGCCCTCTCCCTTGTCTCAGTGCAAATCGGGAATACTTCCAGCAGACCAAATGGCATCATGCTGGTGTAAGAGCAGAAGCAGTGAGAGAAGAATGAAACCCCCTGTTAATATTTCATTTGGAGAGGTGTTGCAGCAATTGCTCCAGCCTCATGTCGTGTTTTGTTATCTACAAGCCATTGAACATAACTCAGCAGAAGGGAAAAAAGCAAGCTGCAGGCACGGCCATCGCCTGCACTGCTGAAGCCTGGATGTCTGGGTCCTGTCACAGGGCTGGTGGGTGGGAGCTCGATTCAGCAGCATATGCAGCATAAGTGCTGCGGCTTTGTGCTGGCATGGATTAAAATTGAACAAAAGTATTGTCCCACCTAGCAGCAAATGTAAGCTACTTTGACAAGGGTTGAGGCTATAGCCCAATAAGCCCGTGATTTGGAAATCATTTGACATTTTGGTTGACACAGTACATTTGATCTTAAAACAATTAAGTTAGAAAATGATTAACATTCGCAACTGAAAGATAAAATTAGCAAAAAAAGAAAACAAGGAAGAAAGAAATTGAAAAGTCATCAGGAATGGGCCTGCACATGAAAAAAAAATATAATAAAAAATTGGTCAAGCAGCTTTTCCTGTGTGAAAATTAGCTTCATTCATAAATGCACAAAATATAAATCTGGGTTTTGAAAGATTTACATAATTTTGTATTGTATCTTGTAGATGGAGCTGCTGCTATAGATGCATGAAACTCATTTTAGTCTTCCGGGTATTTTTCTTCCTCAGCAATGCAAAAACTGATGGGGAAACGAATGTGACATTATTAGCTTGTCAGAAAATTGGGCACTAATACAAGAGAAAACAAGAGCTGATGTTTTCCATAATCAGATTCACAACTGAATAAAATTTAATTTTTATGGATCAATATCACCTTGTCTCAGTTTCAGAACCATAGATGGAGAAGAGGAAGAGCTTTGATGTCTGACTACAAGGGTTTAATCTCGAAGCATGAGACAGAGACAGATTCATTGCCAGTGCCATCATTCCCACATCATAAACTCCTTTTGCTTTTCATTTTTATATATGATTTTACATAGGCATTTACAGCCCTGCCTGGGTTGGTGTGTAGGAATTTTATGACACACCACAGGAACTTTTTTGGTTTTGTTAAATTAGAATGGTTCCACTGTTTTAATCATGCATACTGATCAGATAGGGGAAGCTGGCTTAGTACAGTTTGTCTCAGTTATTCTTTAAATAAGCAAAATTTATCACAGCTAGAGTTCACATTCTAAGGACTATGGAGACCTGAGTTTGGTAAAAGATTTTTTTTTGTCTGTTTTGAGACACTGTGGCATACCCCCACCTTTTCCAATGAACTGCATGTTTATGAGAGAGAGTTTGAGTGAAGTGTATTATTCGGCAGGATCTGAGAGGTCAAGATGACTTCACAGATTGCTCCTGAATTAAAAGTTTCCTCTTGAGGAAACATCATCCCTTGGATGGGATGCCAGCAGATTAGTTCTTCAATTACAAAAGAAAAAAAAAATAATCTTATGTGAACATTCTGTGATTCTGTGTGAAGCCTTTGACAGTGGTCTGGCTCCTTAGGTAGTGTGAGTAGTTCTCCACCTGTCATCATGTGAAGGTTCAGCCTAGTTAATCAGGGGTGCACAACAGCTCGTTAGCGAAGTGTCTGTGTAAGTGCTGACATTAATTCTGGTTCTCCTCTCCTGTTTCCCCCAAGGTGGTTGTCAATGCCCTCGTGGGAGCCATCCCTTCCATCATGAATGTTCTGCTCGTCTGCCTCATCTTCTGGCTTATCTTCAGCATCATGGGAGTGAACCTGTTTGCTGGGAAGTTTGGGAAGTGCATTAATAAGACAGAAGGAGATATGCCTTTAGACTCTAAAATTATTAACAACATGAGTGACTGTATACTCTATAACGTGTCAGGCACATTTTACTGGACAAAAGTTAAAGTTAACTTCGATAATGTTGGTGCTGGGTACCTGGCTCTGCTACAAGTGGTAAGTGTGACCACCAGGGACTAATGGGCCAATATTGCTTGTTTCCATTGATATCGTCACTTCAAAGGCTCAGGTTGACTTCTATGTCTTTCTGGGGTTTCCAGCTTCATCCCTCAGGGGAATGCCTTTCCTCAAGGATAAATGAGTCATTTTTTGGCATATTCATTTGACCTAGAGGGATTTGTGTCCCCTTCTGGTTTTAATTCAATTTTCTGATGTGTTACTAATATAGTCTTCTGGTAGGTGATTGGAATATTGAGGTGAGTTAAAGACCATTTTTTCAATATAGTAATCCAGAGCAAAGTTCAGTTCCAGAAACAAAAATCATGGTCTGGAAAGAACTGTTAATGCAGACAGAGTGCACTGGCCTTCCTGAGCAGCCTGGGACTTCACTAGCCTCTGTTGAGAAAAAATGAAGTTGCAGTGCCTTTGGATACTCAGATGAAGTTATCACATAAAGCTGTAGTCATAGAGGAATCTTGATTTACAGTCCTCTGCTCATCTTCAATGGTGAAGTTTGAGGAGGACACTGGTGCCTCTCATTCTGGTTCCTCAACTCATTTCCAACTGCTAAACATGATGAGAGAGATTAAACCTAGCTCAGAAACACGGTGATGATTAGATTGTTAGAGCCAGCAGTGTGCCCCAGTAGCCAAGAAGGCCACCAGCATCCTGGCTTGGATCAGAAAGGAGTGTAGCCAGCAGGACTAGGTCAGGGATCATCTGCCTGCACTCAGCACTGGTGAGGCCACATCTTGTATACTGGGTTCAGTTTTGGTTCAGTTTTCTGGTTCAGTTTTTTGGGTTCAGTTTTCACAACAAGAAAGACACTGACGTTCTGGAGCATGTCCAAAGAAGGGCCATGAAGCTGGGGAAGGGCCTAGAGAGAGCAAGTCTTCTGAGGAGCAGCTGAGGGACCTGGGGTTGTTTAGTGTGAAGCACAGGAGGCTGAGGGAGACCTTATCACCCTCTACAACCACCTGAATGGAGGCTGTAGCAAGGTGGGTGTCAGTCTCTTCTCCAAAGTCACAAGTGTTAGGACAAAAGGAAATGGCAAAAAAGTGCTAGAGTCACCATCCCTGGAGGTATTTAAAAGATGTGTAGATGAGGTGCTTGCTTAGGGGCATGGTTTAGTGGTGGCCTTGGCAGTGTTAGGTTAATGGTTGGACTCAATGTTCTTAGAGGTCTTTTCCAGATGAAATGATTCTATGATTCTGTGACTGCGTAATGGATATCTTGTTTGTTTGGTGAGAACTCCATCAGAATAGTAGTTATTCCTTCACCATTTCTTTTATAAGACTCCAGCTTTCTGAAAATCTGCATGTTTTCATAAATTGACATTGCCTTAGGAGTCTCCTGAAGCAATCTCTTCTAGTGTTCTGCAGTATCAGTTCCTGGGCACTTGGCCCTGGTGATACTGGTTGTGTTCAACAGGTGGGACTGCCTTCTGTGGAGATCAGTGGTGGCAGGAGCCACATAACTAGTCATGAGCTAGATCTCCACGCATTTATGAAGACATCTTCTACTACTGTTGTTTTCCAGCTGAAAATGGACTTGATGACCCTGCAGGTTTCTTTCAAAGCTGTGATTCTGTATTGCATAGCAGAGAACTAGATTTTCCAGTTGTAGAAGTACAAAAGGTTGTAGAGTCTGTGCAGGCTGGACAAACTGATTATGGCAGGAAAAATGAGGGAGCCCTAAAACCTTGTACTCAGCTTCTATAGCAGGTGCTGGCTCCTTCTTCCAAGAGGAAGGGTGGGAGCCAGATGCCATTAGGGATTCATTTTAACTTTCATCCTGCACCTGGAGCTCTTATAGATGCTTCTAACAACAGTCTTTGGCAACAAAGTGTGAAGATGACCCCCACAGAGAAGGGACCCAACATCTGGGTCTCCTTTGCCAGACTCCAGTGTCGGTTACAGGTGCTCCTTGCCAAATATCCTCCATAGGAGGTTGCATTTCATGAGCAAACTGCTGTAGGAATTGCAGGGGATCAGTTAACAGCTCAGCTTTCCTAAAGAGGCAGACACGTCCATGCAGCTTTGTGCACACAGAGCCAGTGTGTAGCAATGATGAGATAAGCACTTTAGTTATAACCCTCTAGGATCCAAAAGATGAGCTTTTAAGTGGAATTTGTCTTTTGACTGTTGACATTTTCAGCTGCTGCAACACTCTTTAAGTGACTCTGAAGTTTCCCTTGGATGCCTGAATGTGTCTGAAAATCCAAATGGAAAGATGTAAAGCAAATCTGTCTGCCTAATGTTCTGTCTTTACTTCCACAGCATCCTTGAAAGAAATGAGAACTTGCTATTATTGAAAAGATCTTTATTATCATGAGTTTTTAATTTGCAAGAAAGATTATTCACTCTTCTGGAGATTTAACACCCTAATCTATTAGGAAAAAATTATTGCTACGACCCAGTGCTTCAGTAATGCTTCTTCTGTATTCCCAGAACTGGTCTACAGATCACAGCACCTATGTTCTATATATCTGTACTTGATCTGAACAAAGAAATATCTTAAATTTCTAGCAAGAGCTTTGCATTTCCCTTGTAGAATACTTCCTTTCACATTATTATCACCTCACATATTTTTTTTGCCAAGTATCCTAAAATTTCAGCCATCTATTGAAGAACACTAAGAAAACAAGTGGTCTCTCATGCAGCATCTTGCTTGTTTGGAAGAGTTCTCCTTAGACAGGAACAGACTTACATGTAATATGTCCTACAACTCTCTGTCGGTTTGGGAAGATACCAGAAGCACTCCTAGATGACTACAGCAATCAGGAGCTGTAGAGTTACACCAACACCTCCTGCCAGGTTTGAGGTCATGACTGAGGTTGTAAATCAGCTACAAACTGGTCATGAGACAGCAGCCTGAGTCTGAAGTTACTGAGTTACATGATCTCTTTTACTTCTGCAAACTGCAGTGATAGCTTTTACTCTCACTGTGGATGCAAAATGTGTGAAAATTTGAACAAACCCTAAATTGGTGCACCAGTGTAGATATCTCCATATGTCCACAGATGAGGAGGAAGAGTTCCATGAGGAATTACTGCTGGAAATTCAAGGAGAGCAGAGGCTGTTCCCTTGGAGCCCATGCAGCCCACTGCAGTGCAGAGCTCCAGGATGCTCTGCTGGGTTCAGTGCTCAATGGAGTCCTCCCCAGCAAATCATCTTAACATAAAACAAACGTTCAGAATCAAATCACAGCTATGACAAAACTGAACAAACTGAAAAATTCAACAGAAAACCCAGCAGGTAGTGGAGCTAGCATGGCCAGCTTAAATATGTGTGGTTTGGCTGTACTGTTGGCATCTCTGGTTTTGCTTTCAGATGTTTCTCTCACCATTAATAAAGCAATTCAGAAATGCAAAGACCAGTATTCCTTCCATCAAAACCAGCTATTTTTATTGAACTATTGCAGTCCTTTTCTAGAAAAAAAAAATCAAACAAAAATACACACACACACAAAAAAAATACCCCAAACCTTGCAGATTTAAAGGCTCGTTTTATTTTAAGGCACCGTTTGTTTATACAATAAATAGTTTGAGGGTAGCTAGTCCCATCCTACCTACCCTTCTCCTCACTAATTTACTGCACTGCAGCTCTAACCACCAGTCAAATAACAAAATGTAATCCCATCCCAGATGAGTTTATCGGTAGATAATCTCATCACATGACAGTTTCAGTAGAAAATGGTGTTTCTCTGGACAGCTTCCAGGCAGGGTAATATCACAAACACTCCCATGAAGATTTTGTCACTTCCTTATCCGGAGTGTAAGTGGTTACTAATTCTAGATAAATAATTTCTTTCCCCAGTGTTATATTTCTTTCATTCTCAGTATCTCTTACCCTCTGCAGATGAAGTGTCTAGGGAAGTTTTCCAGAAGACCCAAAGATTTTGAATTCTTTTACTTCTGGATAACTGGGAAAAACAGAAAATCACAGTACTTCATTCTCTTAATACTTATTTTTGTCAGATCGCTTCATCATCTGTTATCACTACAAACCACTGTGCCTTGCAGTAGAGTCTCTCCTGTCTGTGGAACACATTGAGGGGTAAAATAGCTACTCAAGAGAAAATATTTCCTCCCAAGTGGGAGAAAAGTACAGGCTAAGATCATGTCATTTTGTGCCACAGGGAAAGGATTTCTTCTTTCATCCCATCCACCCTTCCTGAATGGCACTTTAAGCTGGAAGCTGCAAGCAACAGTAATGACAACAGAAAATCTTTCATCAGGCTAGAAAGAGAACAACAAGAAAGGAAAATATTAGAACAGTTAAAGATGATCAGTGTAACGTGTCCAAATAATTGGTTTGTTTCAATAAAACTGCTGGAATAGATTTTCCAAAGGGTTCTGGTTTGGGGAGTTTAATCTCTTGCAACCACTATATAAAAATAAATGCAACATTTCAAATTTTATTTTATGCATACATTAATAAGAAATATTATTGACCTTTTGTACAACATTTTATTTTGGCTCAGTAGCCTTCAGAAGGAAATCAGAAGGCAGCGTTACCTCCAGGAGTTAATTTAACAATAGAGTGTGAATAATGGAGCATTTCTACAACTGGTGGATGCACCTAGTTCAACACAAATGCCTGGGTTTCACCTGGGAACCCCTGGTCAGATTGCTATCAGCGTTATCTGGAATCGTGTGCCTACACACCAGGAGAAAATTCAACCCAAGTGTCAGTAAAATGCAAAAAAAAAAAAAAAATGGGGGTGTGGAACTTTCATGCATGCTAGTGTAAATCTGATTAAAGGAATAAACCTAAAAATCCCTCATTATCTGCTCACACTGATTTTGAATCCAGGGTGAGTCTAAATGGGTCAGAAGTCAGATGAGAAGCAACCCCAGAGAACTAAAATAAAGGCAATGTGGCTTAGGTCAGAGTCAGACATAATGCCAGATATGTTTGGCATCAGGCTGTGCCTAATGAGAGGCATATATTGAGAGAAAAGAGTCATGGGTTTGCTACAGAATAGTAAAAATC